GTTGAGCTGACAGTTAGTAAGACTGGGGTGTGATCAGATGACCCATCAATACATGACTCAATCTTCATGTACTGTTTGGAGAGTCCTTTTGTTAGGAAGAAGTCAAGTATGTCCGGGATTCGATTGTGATCGGATGGCCAGTTGGTAGGTTCTAATGGGGCAATTGTATTTAAGTGATTTATATCAACGCTCAACTTTAGTTGTCTTCCCCTTGTTGTAGTTAGTCTTGAACCCCAGTGGACATGTTTTGAGTTCCAATCGCCTCCTGCTATGAAGCGATTGCCAAGACTTGAGAAGAAGTGAGAAAACAGGTCGGAGTCTATTCGATGTTTTGGTGGACAGTATACAGCTGAGACATTAAAGTATCCACATATGTCTTGTATTGCGACTGTAGCTGCTTGTATTTGCTCGATTTTATATTCAGGCAGCAAATGGTGCTTTATTTTGTCCCGAATTATTATAGCTGAGCCTGCATGACCTGTTCCGTCAGGGTGGTTTGTAGTGTATGTCTGGAACCCTTTGATTTTGGCATTGGTTTTGTCTGTGCAGTGTGCTTCGGATATTAGGACTATGTCTAGCTTGTGCTCGGCCATTAGTATCTCGAGCTCATCTTTGTTAGGTGAGAGTCCATTTATGTTCCAAGTAGCTAGTCTTAGCCCAAGGCCTTTTAACATTGTAGTTTGGTTATAAGCGTAGTCATGAGGCTCATTAGAGTACTCATTTGTTGTAAGATTAAGTCGAATTTCTCATTTTGTTTAGTGAGGATAGTTTCTAATACTGTTAGGTTTTGGTTTACATGTGGTATGGCATTTTCTGTGATCACTTTGTCTGGCATACTTCTAGCAGCTTTGGCGTAAGATAATGGTTCACTTTCTTTCTCAATGGATGAATTTTGTTGCGTAGTGTTTCTTGGAGGGTTTATATCTCGAATCGTGTAGTCTGCAATAGCACGTCTATCAGCTCTTCGATGACCGTATTTGTTCATTTTTCTGGCTAGTATTTCTCTGTACACCTCACAGCCCTTGTACTTTGCAGGGTGGGAGCCTTGGCATAGTGCACATTGGGCTGGTGTATTCCTATCGCGCTTTGGACAGTCTGACGTTTTATGTGCCTGCGCGCATTTCACGCAGCGGAAAGGTCTCATGCAGTAATTTTTTGTGTGCCCATATTGCTGACACCGTTGGCACTGTACGATTGAATTTTTCGTCTTGGGATCCTCTATGGTTACCGATTGATGGTAGATGTATTTGATTTCTTTAGCTGCCTTGTTGTTCTGGCTAGGTAGGAGATTTACAAAGAATGTTGAGGTAGGTCTCTTCTCAGGACCATACCTGGAGTTAATAATTTCCCCGACAACAGTGTTACCAGTTTTCTCAATTTCTTCCTTTATCTCACTTTTAGGTGTTGTGTGATGAAGATTCCGAATGACAATACGGCAGAGTCGTTCTTCCTTTTTATTGAATGTGTGACCAATTAAGCCACTTTCACGGAATTTAGTGATGATTCTTTTGTAGGCCTCCGTATCTATGGTGTTGATTCTCAGTTGGTTTCTGTTTGTAGTCCGATATGTGAATGAACTTTTATCTGCAACAGTTTCCACGAATTCAGTTAATTTATTGACGTCTTCTATACCATACAATATTATGGGTGGAGGCTTGCTAGGTTTTTTTTTTCCACTGGTTTCTTGGTTGGAGCGGGTTCTTCTGTTAGGTCAATTGGTAATTGGCTGAACATGTTGCTAGTGGTTATATTTTCTGGAGAATCGTTAACTTTTTCCGTTTCGGATTTCTAGTGCCTGGTACTCTCTGCCAAGATGGGGGGCATACAGTGTCTTGCTGGCTTGGTGCATTTTGCGTGGCCATGTCTCTCGGTGGTTCTACCACTGTTTGTAGACTTTCTAGGGGTTTGCCTCCTAGGGAATTGCTTCTAGGCCTGGTAATAAGCAGGCTGCGGTGGAAGATCTGCTGTGTAAGCTTTTTGCTGCCAGTAGCATTCACTGTAATGGAAGCCTGGTCGCCTACTTCCATCAAGTCTTCGGTAGCTAATTTCACACTCTCCGGCCCGGGTACCAGAGAGCGCCGGGGGTTAGCCGGATCGCATGACATACTATCTTTCTCATTATTTGACATTTCCATAAAAAAAGGGGGTGGGAGAAAACACACATACTACTTTCCCAAGGCAATATGGCAGCTATTTTAGGGGGCATTTAACTTCCCTAGGTCCGCTGTGGCCTTAACAGGTTAATTGACCTCCGCCTGTGACTCGGCGTTGTTGCTCGTTTAGCACCACCCGGGGGACACGTGTAGGGTGGCCTAGGACAGGTGGTAGTTCCCACGGACGCAAGCAACTCCGCCCCCCAAAAATTAGTTAATTTAAGTTTTGCGGTAAAAAATACCAAGGTAGGGCAGTCTTACTAAATACTACGACTTCCGCAACTTTTAGGTAGGGTGAACAAAGCCTTTCGAAACGATAGGGTCCTACCCTAGTGTTACGATTATGCACATGCAATTGTTTAGCTACTCGTTGACACAACTTACAAAAATTGTTTTGTTAACAAAAATATTAGCGAAACTCTTGGTAAGTGTTATTCTAGTCATCATCATTATCAATAGACAACAACCTTTAAATAGTAAACTGCTGGCATAGACATCCTCTCCTTAGAAAAGAGGTTTTGGTCTATTGTACCACGCTGACCAGACGGGTTGGTATAGTATAGGGTTTGTGTCAAGTGTTCTCTTTGCAGTGCTGTTGTCTTGCGTATTTTGCTCCCTTAGTCGGCTCTTACGACACTCACGGTATGAATAGGGGTGGTGACACTCATTCTTAATCCGTCACCACACGGGTTATTCTACGTTTACCGATATTCAAACATTAAAGTAATGATTAACACATAACATTCATATGTCCGGTTACTAATTTTATCTCCTCATAAAACATTTTCTACAAGTACAGTCTTAACAAGTCCTAAAAATCGATAATCGCCAGATTATAAAAAAAAAAATACGTGTATAAATATCTCGATAGAAATAAATACATTAAATATCGCTGTGTATCGTCAGATGCAAAGATTTGTTTTTTTTTATCTTTATTTGATTCGGGGCTTTGATCCAGTAAGGATATGCCAACCCCATTGTACCTTGATACATGATAAACACAAATAATTATTGTTAAAACAGTCTGGAATATTATATCATTGCTGAACTACTGTAATCAGGTGACACAAGTTTTTAGCTGCTTCTGACCTTGGGTAACTCATTATGCTCTGTATTAAACCCTCATATAATAAATTTATATTTATTTATTCTTTATTGTACACACATTAATATTAAATAAGTGATTAAGGAAACCACATGTACAAAGACGAGCTTAACCCAAAACTGAGTTTTCTTCTAGCGAACCCTTAGAGTGAACAAAGGTATTTAGTTCTTTGAGCAAAGCCTCGCGTTCATTTTTATTCCTGTCACAATCCATCAGCAAATGCAAATCTTCTATTTTATTACAAACAGGACAGTTAGGTGAGTGAGTTTTTTTCATTAAATGTTCAAATTTTGCTGATGGATAATGACCAGATCTAATTCTAAGAGCTAGTTTCACATAGTGTCTGCTTAATCGAGCGTCATCAAACCATGCGACCTGAGGAGGCATTGCCTGAATGGTTTTGTACCAGATACCTTTTTCCTTAGATCTATCGTTAAAATAAGTAACCCAGTCATCATAACAGCATTTTTTAAATTTAGACACTAATTCCCAGTCATCAGGTAGATAATTTAGAGCGCTTCCATTTACAGCTGCCAGTTTAGCTATTCGATCTGCCTGTTCGTTTCCCTTAAGACCAATATGTGCTGGAACCCATTGCAACCTTACATCTTTTTCACTTTTATTTAAGGAAATAATAAGATGCAAAGATTTAAAAATAAATTGGTTCGTCTATAAAAAGATTTGTAATATATTCCTATATGTGTAACATTCATCTTTACTATTTAGCAGCCATGTAATATAACTAATTTCATTTCTTATGTCTTCAGGTATTGTAAAAAAATAATTAATATCAGGTAAATCCAAAATCTTTTAGCTCCCATCGGTTGAGTCTATCAAATATAGTACCTTAAATTTTCGCGTTCAATATACATAATTCAGTATTTATGTATACGGGAATAATAGTATGTGTATATAATAATTATGTTCTTAGACAAGAGAAGGAACGACATTGTATATGTCAAACCCCAAACAACGCATACGTACATTAACAAATGTTATCCCTTCTTAGCACCATATCTATATACGTAATAAGATAAACAAATTCATGAAAATATATGCCGTATCGTATACAAAATGCCAACTTTAGTAGGAGAATATTTAGGTTAGCTTAATTACGCAGACACAGAAAACAACTTAGCAATTTTAAAATGATATAACTTTAACTATAATTAGGTTATTAAACAATAAGTAATATATATTTGTGTATACAAACCAGTCTGAAGTAATTTACATTATTAATCTATTAGAACTTTAACATATGATCGTCCTGGACCTAACATCAACAACATAACAGTCAAGTGACTGCCTGAAACAGGTCTCACACGTCACTCGTTCTTTTGCAAATGCCTAGGTCACAATGACCTAGTCATTTGCAAAAGAATTAGTAATATTTTGAATGTACCTTTTTATATTCACTCTTGCACATTTTAGAATAAACATATTCTAGTTTTATGTTAGCTTTAGTAACAAACTTAATATAAGAATCTAATGACAATAAGATGTAAATCATATGAAAAATGTAACCAAGACCTTATTCTGATTCTGCAATTTTTTTTTTGTTTTTAAATTATAGTACATATGCGATCACGTAAAAGGTATTACATATCTTTAAATTGTCTGACGTCCCGACCGATGATGCACTTGCCGTGTTCACAGAATGATTCTCGTGACCAGTACAAAGTGATACACAGCAGATTTTTGAAACAGTTCAGAAACTAATACTAAATCGTTTTTGTCTACAGGTGTGGTGTTCGTCGCCATAGATAGTAAGGACAACTCAAAAGTGGCCATCAAGGACATAGATTTAACTAAACAGAGCAAAAAGGAGCTAATACTCAATGAAATCAATGTGTTGAAGGGTTTCAATCATAAGAATCTTGTCAATTTCCTCGATGCATTTCTTAGTTACGATCACCTTTGGGTAGCTATGGAACTGCTCGATGGAGGGTCCCTAAATTACGTGGTTACTGAAGTCGTTATGAAAGAGGGTCAGATCGCGGCTGTTTGCCGTGAAACCTTACAAGCCATTGCGTTCCTGCATTCCAAAGGTACAATTCACAGAGATATCAAGTCGGACAATGTTTTACTTGGGATGGACGGCACTGTAAAAGTAACGGACTTTGGGTTCTGCGCAAATATAGTTGGTGATGAGAAACGGCAAACGATGGTCGGTACTCCCTATTGGATGGCACCCGAAGTTGTCACGAGGAAGCAGTACGGTAAGAAGGTTGACGTATGGTCTCTAGGTATCATGGCCATAGAAATGATTGAAGGAGAACCGCCATATATGAAGGAATCCCCACTGAGAGCCCTATATCTAATCGCAGCAGTGGGTCGCCCTAAAATTCCTAGATGGGAAAAATTGTCTCCAGATTTTCAGGACTTCTTAGATAAATGTCTGCAGGTAGATGTAGATTTACGAGCAGCAGCTGACGAGCTCTTAATGCACCCGTTCCTAAGCTGCGCAATGGAATTAAGAACTCTAACGCCTCTCATCAGAGCTGCGCAGAAGATCCATCACAAGAACTATGATTAAGACTGGTAATTTCTTCCATTCCCCTACTTTCGTCTATATATTCACGTTTTATAGGCTTTTTACAATTTTGTATGTTCTTTACGGATATGAAGTGCCAAGTTTTGAATAGTATTTTACAGGCAATACCTAAATTGCTTATTGCATTTTGTAAACGGGCCATTATTTGAAATAGAATAAAAGTATTTTAAGTACAGCATTGAATTTGACGAAAAACATTGTGTTAGCATAGATGTTTATTCATATGTATTGAGCTATACGTCGGCGTATTTAGCATAAAACCGTAAGATATTTATTTCGACAGCATGCTAGGCGTTCGGCTTTTGTCTTATCTTTAAACTTGTATAGATAGGATATCTACAACTGATATAGATATTCACACATCACAAAACAGTTTATATTAACATTTTTAAGGGAATGAAACAAATCTATTATTTCATTGTACAAGAAAAATATGCCATAATTATGTAACACGATGACTTTTACATAATAGGCCTTTGGGTCTTAATAAGAGTTAGTTACTTAATAAGAGTTAATCTGTCCAAAATTGAGTATTTTTATAATTGTAAGTACTGATCGGACTAATTGTTTTAGACTGATGTTTACTAGAAAATATAAAAAAAATCGAGAAATTTCCTCTTTATGTATTGTCAAATTTAATACAATCTACAGTGGCCAGTTCTTTCTAAGATAAGTAATGGTTTGAAAAAATGATTGGTGCACAAATAGGCTATTACCAAAAATGTACATAAAACGAAAATAACTTTTTTATTACTAGTCGTAATTATTTGCATTATTTTTTTAATGATTTATTATCAATTCAAACATTTTTTTTCACAAATCTGCCATTCTCACATTCCTTTCGATATCTTATTCCTTTAACTCATTATCCATATCAAAGAAATAGTATTGTGATTACTTAAAATAATAGTATTTACTACGGTATCTTACGGTATCACGAATCTTGAACACGGCGTTTTACAATTTAAAAAAATCTATTTCAATATACAACGAAACAATAAAAAAAAAACTGTTGTTGAATGTGTTTTATGAATTTGAGACAGTGTAAAGCTATGGGACTAAAATTAACTACTTTGAATCTGCACTGGGCAGAAAAGAATAGCGTAAAACGGAGCGTAAACGAACGTTAGTATTTAAGATTCGTGTCGCCTGCTATATTTATGTGTAAGATAGTAACACTAAAATAATGTTTCCAACGACAAGAATAAGACTGTATTACAGTGTTGCATTTCTATAAAATTCTAATACATTTACCATTCCTTCACCAACTTTAATCCTTTGAGCACCTTGTTTCATAGATAGATAGATAATCCAAGTTTTTTTTTTCAACCTCTATGACTACACAGATAGAAAAATCTTGCACTACGGATGTAGAATAAAGAAATATACAACATTGAACGCGTTTGTTAGTAATTTTTTCATTACAATCGAATGCAACCGTTAATTCCTTCATAGCGTAGTAATAACCTTGCAAACAGTCACAAAGTTGAGTGTCGTGGGAAACTTGCTTGTGTGATTTACAGATAATTATTCGTAAATTATATGTTTGTGTAGCTAACGCGATACACGGCGACTTCAGTTCGAGAGCTGTTTAAAATATCTAGGGGAGTTACTATATATGGTGTAAGGGACGTCGTAACGAATACTGAAATAGTGTATTCAGACCATCATTCTGAGTCAAAAATCATTGGAATTTTCTTATGTGTTGCTTGTCCGTGCCGTTTTACTTATACTTATACTTATATACTTTTATAAATAACCGGTATTGTTAATTTTAATTTTTTTTTGGGGATATATAGCAGCCTATGTCCTATTATAGACTATAATCTATCTCTGTACCAAATATCATCCAATTCCGTTCAGCCGTTCTCACGTGGTTCAAAACATCCATCTATCCAGACTTTCACATTTAAATATTTGTATAGATGAAATCTGCTACGACAGAAATTCTGTGCAATATACTTAGTAACTCAACTGCCAGCTGTAATATTTCCGTCGGTAAAATGTGTCATTGCCACATTTTAGCGAGATTGCGAAGAGGAAATCACATGGCCGAATAATGGTGCTCAGATGATTAAAGATCCCAAAAAAATACTTCATTTTTAATCTAAAATGGTATTGTGTTGTCCCATTTTCATTGTTAGTTTAACGTTCAGATGTAAGAAATAGTCTGGTCATGCTCAATAAGGAAATGTTTTTCAGCTATAAATAAATATGTATTGGCGTTCAAAATGTTCGACTATGGTGTTTTATAGGGTAATATTAGACTTTGCTTAGTGTTCAAGTGTTTTTAAACGACCATGTCTTGAAAATATTAGATGACGTATTCTGTCAATCCGACATTTTTTTTTGTTTTTCTTTACTTTTTGTGGTTAAGAAACAAACGGCAACGCCGTCTGAGGATATGCGGGGGCCTCGGGCACACAAAAATTTGGGGCCCTGTTTGACAGTAAAACAAAATGAATGAATAATTATTTTTAGCTATCTATTTTTTGTCGAAATATATCGATCTAAAATAGAAATCAAAATTGTATAGTTTAAGCGGAAATATCCCTCTATGTATTCGCTTTTCGGGGCCCCGTGATGATAGGGCACGGGCCACGTGTGCCCTTATGGTAAAGACGGTACTGGTAGACGGGTCACTCGATGGTAAGTGACTACCGCTGCTAATGGATACATGCAACTGTAGAGACACAAGTTGCGGATTCGGATTTAAAAGGGGGGGCTCCTTACCGCTTTAAGACGAGGGGGAGGGGGGGGGGGTTAGCGAAGCAAAGAAAACGTTGCTTGTGTTAAGCAACTTATACATTTATTACATACTTCATAACGTTTGTAATTGGTTTTTTTATCAACATACTCAACTAGTCCGAATAATGGAGTGTTGTTATATAAAATGAATAGATTGCAGTCAGTTTGTAGTATCCAAACAATTTTTGGGCGTACTTTTAAGTTCTTTATTGTTGAGAAAATGTACACAACAGTGCAATATACCTACTGATTTGTAAGTATGAATTATGTTCATGAAATGTATTTTTGAGATTTTTTTAGTATTATGTCAGTATAATTACACATTGATAAGCTAAATTCCTGAATACCACTTAACTTATGGGAGATTTTGAGTTACATTTCTCCACCATGAGTGCCTGCTTCATACAGCATTAGTTTTAGTATACTATTTACTATAGAATAGTTTTTAAGCATTTTCAAAACAACGAAGAACAGTGTGAATGCTCTGCTTTTATAAAATAATAAACTGATGACCCAAGAGGTTTCCGTTTTCAGTAGCAAAGCAACTCTGTTACGTGTAATGCACGGATTAATAAATATATATCCCCAATTTGACCATAATGTATCGTGCATTAAAAAAATATTGTATCTCATAGTGTTGGGTTCACATAAACAAGTCGATATCTCCTACTCTTACAAGATATTTCTTGGGCTTCAGGATTTATGAGAGGAGACAGATGTTTTTGGAACTGTACTCTAAGTGAATGTACTGGAAAACGGGCTATTTACCATGTTGATTTTTCAGAATTTAGTTTCCGATATTTCGGCACTGTTGCAAGCGCCATGATCACGGATTATAAACATGGTAAAAATCCCGTTTAAAATAACTTATCAAGTGAATATGACTATGGTAGTCTCAATTAATACATTGTCACATAAAAACTCTCTCAAATTGAATGCAAGTCCGTTGGTTGTCCGGTAATCGTGCACCCAACACTATGTTGTCTAGTGGCCATCCGGTACAGCAGAGCACTAAATGTATTGACGCTAGTACGCAATAATTATAAGTTTATATACAAAGGACACTTTTTGAACATTTTATTATAATTTGCCTATTAAATTATTTTTGTAAAATACTCTTGTATTTTTTGTCATCATAAGATGCTGAGAAGTAAGTATAACTAAGTTATTAAGAAGGTCACGGGATGCCGTTGAATCCGAGCAGCACAGGACCTGGTGTTGTGTCGAACCTGGAGGGTAGCCTATGTCCAGCAGTGGACGTTTTTCGGGTGAGATAAACATGTAAACTAATAATAATAACAAAGTTGAAGAGTTTGTTTGGTGCATTGTTGGTTTGTTGAAACGCATGAGGGTTGAGCTACGATACGGCCAAGTGTGATTCAACCCTTCAATTCTGGAACTATCAGACAGATTTACATAATTGTTTATGTGTTGGATCGAATATTTACTAAGAAAGTGTGCTGGAGTGTTTGATTTCTGTAGTAACTAATTAAATGATAGACTCAATAATTGACCTAAAATATTTGAATCTTATCGAGTCAAAGTCAACAATTGAAATCAATTATAAACTGCATACACTCACGCCGGTATCGTCAAATGGGGAGGAAGATGTTTATTACATACCCACATTCTCCAAATATAATTTGGTCAGAGCAAGTAATTACAACGTATTTTTTTTGCATTAGATGTGAGGATATCACAAAAAAGAAAATTTTATTATAGTACAGACACACGATATAAGGTAATATCCACCCATACTAGGGCTCACAAAACTAAAATCATGCACCCCATGTATAAAGTGAAACAGGATATCTATTTAGGGTGCCAACCATTTAGGTAAGTTATTCTGTGTCTCACCGCTGTACCAAATGGGCGTCCAGTTCAGCATTTGCCAAACGAAGATGGTTTTCGACTGGAACCCGTTTATTAACTCACGGACGTCACGTGCAGCGTCTGCATTACTTTACATATGTACACCATACGACATTGCGTTTACAGTAAATATAGATATTAATATGTGTAACATACACAAACACAACACCCTACAAGTCGATTTAAAAAAAAAAGTGTCACTGTTTCTCTGTCACATGGTAACAGAAAATATATTAGTGGTATCATTCGGTTAGGTATCCTTGTATCATTGCGACTCGTGACAGCGCGTTATTATGGTAGCTTGTAGGTACAACACCGCAAACCAAACATCTCTACAAGTAAGGTTTTACTTAGTCTGTCTCATTTCGATCAAATTAAATTATATAAATATTTGATTTACGTTAACATAAGCTAGTATGTTGCTCCTCCAAAAAGTACTGTCGTAAATGCTTTTTGTGCTTATATATTTTGGAAATAGCAATGTTTGTTAAATTTAACAGACATTTGTTTCCATTATTTAATGACAGCAGAAAACGATCAACACAGTTAAGATCACAATACACTGGCATGTTATCGACGGGCCAATACAAAACTGCACTTCTAAGGAAAAGTGTACCTATTGTGTATGGGGCCTACAATATATAATAAAATACCAGATACATTGAAAAATTTGCCACTTCAACAATTTAAAAATAAGTTGACAGACTTCCTGGTGGAGAAATGTTATTACTGTCTAACGGATTATTTAAATGATGCAATTTAATTATTATATTGTTTTATTTTTTATGACATTTTTTGTAGTTTTTTTGACAAACAAAGATTTCCATTTTATTATTTCTCATTATAATTTTATTGACATATGTAAAAGGTTTTTATATCCTAATTTTATTTAATAATTGTTTTTTTTTATTATCTTAATTAATTACTGTCAGTCATAAATTTTTGTAAGCAATAAATTATTCACAATATTATTTTAAGATTTGTATGCCGTATGGCAGAATGTACCAGGAACTTACACAACATCTAATTTGTATTTTTTACCTACATTCTAAACAAATAAAGTTTGATTTGATTTGATTTGAACATGAAAACAGACAAACAGGTGGTAAATTGTTCCAAATGTTGGAAGCAGCATATCGAAAGCTACCTTTGAATGCAGATGATCGGTGCGGTTGTATCGAAAGCTGGTGTGAGCACTATCTTCACCAGCGTGTGGAGAGCCGTGTCCACGGTCTGGCCATCGCAGTGGTGGCACTCAGGCGTTGGCTCCTTGCGGATCAGACACAGGTGATCCCCGAAACATCCCTTCCCAGTGATCACCTGCGTCAATCGGTATGAGAGGGTCCCGTGACGCCTCTCGAGCCAATCCTCCATAACGGGTCTTACCGCCGCGATGACGGCGTGCCCGGCGCTCGGTTGCCCGAGTCGTTCCCTCCCCTATGATGACCTGGCGGAGTTGGGATTTCCGGTCATCGATTTCTCGAATCTCGGGGCATCGACCCAACTCCTGCGCCTCTTTGCGCCACTGATACAGAGCCGCAAGGGCTCTCGCCTCCAGGTCCCATGGTGGAGTTCCGGCCAGGAGACTCGCCGCCTCAAAGGAGATCGTGCGGTACCCCCTTATGATCCTGATGGCCAGCATTCGCTGCGGTCGTCGCAGTATCGCGACGTTGCTGGCCTTCAGGGCCCCCGCCCATGCTGGGCACCCGTAAAGGGCAATACCGATCCCCCTAACATCTTGACGAGTGAAATTACGTATGTATACATTTTTTAACTTTTTTGGGTATCGTAAAAAAAAAAACAGTTTGTTTTCATTATATATTAATAAAACAACATAACTAACAATGTTATTAATATAAATATTTTTCTTTTATTTCATATACATGATCAGTATAGGGAAGAGTTGGTAACCACAAATCACTTTTTGTTCCTCATATGGTTTCTAAATGATATTCAGCACCTTTTTCACATTTCCTTTGAATTAAAATCAAAATAACATATTTTACATTAAATTAAAAGAAGCATAAAGCACTTGTAGAGGAACGGGTGCTATGTCCCTCCAACACACAGGGAGGACCTCCGACCAGGCGAGGTGATCATGTCTGGCGGTTGATGTTGGGAAGTTGTATATATGCTAATCGGCGAGAGAATTCTTCATATCGCCATACAGGATTAGGAATTCTCATTCAGGAGTTACTCCGTAGTTCGATGTGTCTTCGTTAGATAGCGCTGTAATAATTTTTGCCGTATGTGAAAGTCGCAACATAAGTCCCCTCTAAGACCGGAGGTCGATAACTAGATGAGTCAACTGTCTATTATGGGGCGTACCAATGCCAGTAATGAGTAGTTCCAGTGAGTCGGAACTGAGTACCGCTAGTCCCAGTGAGTCGGGGCTGAGGTCCGCTTATTGCAATGAGTCGGGATTGCAAGCGTTGCGTGGTGCTGCCGGTAAAGTCGTCAGTGAGTCGGGTCAGTGCTGCGTAGACGGGAGAAATATGCTCTTCGTATCCTATTGAGCAAAACAGACTTGCTTGGGGTACAGCAACTTTTTAGCAGCTGCTAAGCATTTATTCACCAGCATGCACATAATATATTATATGAGGCTATACCAAAGGATGCACTGCACTTCGGTGGTCCAGTATTACCTACTCTCCCCTGTTCACCGCATGTACAAATAAAAAGGTTTCTCTAACTCCAAGCGTCAACTAAAAATCTTTTATTTGCCTGCATTTCAGCTACCCTTAAACTTGCTTCTTCAGGTGTCAAGTTACTGTGATCTTCAAAGCCTTTTATGAAAATATCCTTTACTTGAGCAGCCATGGTTTTCAAATCACCAGAAACATATACGACAGCGTCATCATTCACTAACTCCATGACTTCCTTTAAATTTAATTTCAATGAATCCTGTAACAATATAAGATTAACTTCATTTTTACAGACAGACTAAGTTTCTAATTTCAGAAAAATAAAAACACATTCAAAGAGTTTTTGGATAAACAGACTGGCAAAGAGCTCCTGATACACCCTTTTGGAGAACAGAAGCCTATATGATCCACTGTGGTGCACATGTCAGCAGTTTGGATCATCGGGATCCAGTTCCGTTACACAGTTAAAAAGGACCTAGTACACTTGTTGATATAAACATATATTGATATAAAATATTTAGATTCGCATATCTAAATATTTTTAATTAACATACACACCTGAATATATTTAATACCCTGATTATCCATTCTGGAAAATGCTGTGAAAAGCCTACTTAAAATTCCTCTACGTAAGTAACCATTCAACTCATCTTCATAAATGAAATCTAACTTCGGATGCCGACAGCCATAGAACATCCAGACTTCACCAAACTTCAGATCCGGGTTATTTTCCTTCAAATATTCTCTTTCTTCTAAAAAGCCCAAAAACGGTGCCACCCCTGTTCCGGGTCCAATTAATATTACTGGTTTCATTGTATCTTCTGGTAATTGAAACATATTGATGTTCTTTCTAAGATAAACTGGTATTTTCTCTATTGCACTACCGTCATCAGTTAAACTTAAGGTTTTTATTCGTTTATCCAGATCCTCATTTAAAATTAAATTTTCTATCCAGCCAGTGGTAAGTCCTTTTCTATTATTAACTGTCTTAACAGAAAAACATATGGTCACTGTTTTCTTATTCTTTAGGCCACTGTTGACAATTGAATAAGGTCTAGGTAACAATCTAGGGAGATTAGCTAGAAGAATTTCTAAGGGTGGTTTACAAGATGAGAAGATACTGAACAGATCCAATATACAGAAGCCTTTGTTTACAACATCTATTGTATATGTGGTAGATCCCTGTTTGCTGCAAAGATATTCTAGTGTCTTTCTTTCTCTTTCATCTGTTGTGTACTTTGAAAGTGCTAGCAGGAACAACTGAAAACAAAATTAATGTTTGGATTAAAAAGATATGGTTTTATATGATAGATAACTGCAATAGTGTCTAACATAGAAATTGACAAATACAGCTTTTGCAAGCATTAAATATAATGAATAAGGCTTAGAGGAATGATTGATTTTTTACATTTGTCAATGAGCACATGACAACACTAGTGTTATAATTAAAAAAAAAAAATTAAAGCCTCCACATTAAGCTTTTTATTTTTCTGGTTAGACTTAATGTTTGGTATAAGAAACTACATAATTACACAAAAGTGTACACAATTTCTCACACAAAACTCAAACTCTAAACTGATTTAATAAAAAAAAAATGCACCATCTAAGTATCTTAAGCGCTTATCTACTGGTTGAATGAAAACCTTTAATGTTGAATGGAAAATAAAACTATACCTTTTTAATAACACTTCTTAGATCCAAACAATGTGTCAAAACATGCCTCACAGTAGATTCCTTAGGAACATGAGCAGGTATCTTACCTCCTTTCACACTGCTATCTACTGACAATGAATAGCACTGATCGGCTAGTGAGGTTAAATCCAAATGGCTAATTATGAAATTCACATCTGATTCATTATTGTGTGGAATAACACCAATTGTATCACCTGCTTTGAAATTAAAATTGCTATCCTGAAAATAAAAACATATTAGATTATTAGCTGACTTGCCCAAATATTCCTTTTTCGAAAAGGAGTTATAAAAGTGTTAAATGACTAATTTTTAATGAGAAATAAGTATGACTTATTGAATATAAAGGTCACCTGTAAGTGTGAGTTACCACCCTTTGAGTGCCTTAGGGGTTGGGCCTGTGATAACCTCACTCACTCAGTGAAAAGCAATGCAAGAATTGTTTCAGATAGTTGTAGGAACCATAACAGAACACCTAGCCCTGAAGCGACAACTATTCACCATTAATGTGACGGACAGTCCTCTTTACTGAGGATGCCGAAAAGCATCAGAAATGGCCACCCCCATAATCCTGGAATGCAAGGGTGTGGCCACACAATAGGCAAGTACCATACCCGGTACGAAACCACTTATAGAAACCTGTAGGTAAACGCGCCACCTGTGTTCTGCGTTTCTGGAAGAAGCTTTGTTGGCTCACCTAGCCAACTTCTTCTAGACGTATAAAGTCGAGTCTAAATGCAGAAATCAGAGCCCACAACCAAAGCCGGTTCTCTGTGATACTGCAGTATCACAATATGTGCCGAGGCATGGCTTTCCCACAATATAGATTATTAACTACAAAATTTATTAACTACTTTATTTTGTAAATACATCCTTTTTAATAAAAAGAAAATACTAATAATAAAACTAATCAACATCAATTAGGAAGAAACGGGATTGTGGCCTTTCATGAGATCAAACAGATCCCAAGAAATGGAGAGGAGTGTTCCACCAACAAGCAATTGCTCCACCAACACGGGCTTGGCTCTTAAATTTAGAGAGAGATAGCAAATAAAACATACCTTAACATCTAACATAACTTCATAGACAGCTTTACAGTCTCCTGCAGCAGTCAGACATTTGGACTGTATTATACTGCCCTGAAACACATCACTCGCAGCAAATGGCAGAGGAGGTTTTGCTACATTATTGTCGGCTTTTACTCTCTGGAAGTAAAAGCATAAAATTAAACCTTCCTCTGTAGTACAAAATCAGGAATTCAAGTGCTTCATGAATTTTGAGTTACTGTTTCAATGTTGATATTAGAATAGTGCCAAACTTATATTAATTTTTGTATACTAAAGCCCAATCAAAACATTAAAATAATTTTTCTTTCAATGAAGTAAACAGTATAGGAATTCTTGGTAAAGTAAATAATAAGTCATAGGTAAAGAAGTACATTTAACTAGCTGCTTCTGATTCAAAAATTATTGATGGTACTAAAAAACTTACGTTTTCACAACTGAATCCTATATTTAAAGCATTTTGTTTTAAAGATGGTAACTCGAAGTTTTCCTCTGTCACACTGTCAATAATATTTAGAAGCTTATGAAGAAGAACCATTTTTATAGATAGTTATACAGTTTAACATAATTTGATTGAGTTCGTGTTTCGTGCTCGTGTGGTTTCCTGACTGTCACTGTCAAATATATAATTGTCAGATCTGTCTCTATTATCAACATCTTTGATGTTAAAAAAATGTCACTGATCTAGCCATAGTCCAAAAGTTGGTTGATAATAAACTACGAGATAATAATAAAAAAAGACTCGTTTCCACGTACATGGCTTTTAAAAGTGCTAGAGTTGTTTAAAAACTCTGTGCACTTTCATGTCAAGTCATGTATGGGGCAATGGATATATAGAGCAGCCACGGATCAACAAGTCGACGGTGAGCCAACCAAGCTTCCATATGCTAGGCGCTTTGTGGAGCAAGTTTTTTATTTTGGTTCCCCCTGAAACTGTCGCCCAGGGCGGGTGCCCCGGTTTGCCCCCCCCCCCCCCCCCTCCCCGCCACCTAGTTTCGGGGCTGATATAGAGATATAGAGCAATACAGGCCTACCGTGTTGCTCTATGGCAATGGAGAACAACACTTCGCTATAAAGGATGTCGGCAGACTTCGGTAAACGATAAACTAATGAAGATCGAGCGGGGTGCATTTCAAGGCGATAGTCCTGAGTTCTTTGTGGTTTTGTCTGGCCTTAAAACCCTCTCAGCACTCTATTACTGGGTTTAGGGCTAGCCGGGTCAGGCTATAGGTTGCAGAAAGGTGATCGAGTTATATCTCACCATCTCTATATGGATGATTTAAACAGCGTTACTAAAAGTGACTGAAAACTTTAGTAATTTTATTAAAATGAAATTTGGTGGAGACGAATATGCGGTCATGTATGTAAGGAAGGGCTTAATAGCAGAATCTGTAGGAACAGAGCTTTTAGATTCAACAAAACTCTGATCTCTGTCTGCCACCGAAACCTACAAGTATCTTATTTAACCACAATCTTTGAGAATCCTAGACTAACATGAAACAAACGCTGCAAGAACAAATATTTGTACAGGCAAAATCACGGGGCCAGGATCGTACATTGAAATGTTTTGTACCTAACTAAGACGCTTTTTTAGTATCTTTTTCTGAAAGTGTAGTTAACAGAGGAAAAAGGGGATACCGGTAAATGAAATAACACGCTAAATTAATATTTTGTAATAATATTGTATTTTACATAGTCTTCCGTTTGTAATGTTAAGCATTCTCTCGCAAGGCTGATTCGTATATTTCATCTGTAATGCAAATTAAATAGTTTTCAATGAGTTTCTTAAAAAAATCCAATCCTCAACATCATCGTAATTTTTCTGCCCTTTTGCTAATTTATTGGGTGTCGATGACGGGTTGACGCAATTTATAACAACGCAGGGGGTTTTGGTTGATTCATTTGTATGGTCGACCACATGCCTGAGGCCAATACTCTTAAGAATGTAATATATGGGTTAATTCAAGTAATCCCTGCAAAACCGATTCTTCTAGCTGATTCGAGAGTTCTGCAGCTTCATCATGAGGTAAGTAGCTACATTTTAAAAATAAGAAAAGGTGCTTACTAGGTACGCAACTAAAGTTCAAAAAGATTTTCCTGAATGGAGGGATACCTAATTATGTCTAAAATTTATTTAGCATATTTCTATAACGTACCTTGAAGCGCGAAACCTTTGTCTTGAGTGTCTGTTTTTTCTGAATCGTCTTCCAAACATTCTGGACAAACGGTACTTTCGCATGGATTTTCAGAAGTCGTTGGGAACGCCGGTGTCAATTCTTGTGGAGGTGGCTTATTAAGTAAAAATGTTTTTAACAATTAATAAATAGTATGGTTCTATGATCTATTTTAAATACAGATATTTTTTGTCATTTTACCTCAAGCCGATAAAGATAGGATATTCGGCAAGGATCCCAAGTAGTACATACAGTAGCATTGTGAATCATATCCTTGCGTGGTTCGTCACCAAAATAGTCGAATGTTATCACTACATTATAATCAATAGCACATTCTTCCAAAAACTTATCTACACTTATCTAAAAAAAGGTCAATGTAACATGTGAGTTGTAAGTTAATATCCTCCTTTCCTCTTTTTTTTACAAAATGAATAATGTTGTTTTAAAAAAGTATTAAGGAAATGAAGAGGCTTAATAATAATGTATATTTTTTCAATTTTTATAAGGTTTTTTCTATTGTAATATATTTAAAAATGTAATCAAAATGTATTTATAATGTAATAAATATAATAATAATAATCCTCCTCTTCCCGGTTAATTTAGTTTATTTAATTTATTCGAAGTATGATATGATGATGATATCAGGTAGATAAGTTCAATAAAAAGGCCAGAGGCTACTTTGTATTAGTATATAGTACTACAAAATAGGTGTCCTATACATTGTGAGGCCTTGGCATAACAAAATCCTATAAAAATATCTATATTTTTAGAGAGGTTTTTTCTGCTTCGACATCTTTCGTATCATACCTACTTATGTTTAAATGCTGGCCAGACGGGTTGGTATAGAGTTTTTGTCAAGTTTTCTTATCTTGCAGTGCTGTTGTTCTGCGTAGTTTTCTCCCTTAGTCGGCTCTTACGACACCCACGGGATGAATAGAGATGGCGACACTCTGTATTCTTAATCCACGGAGTCGGAGTCGCCCCACGGATAGAATATTATTATTATTAATTTTCATACAATGAATTTGCAAATTTGGAGGCAATCGGATATATTTTATCTTTCTTATCTATATCGTCTATATCAATTATTGAATTCATACTAGCTAATTTTAGCTTTCGCAGTTGCCTTAGCTTTGCCGACAGATAACCCAAAACTAGCACGAGCCCTTTAAAATCCATACTAAATATGTTATAAAAATATCAGAAGAAAAATAAAATATACTTTAGTTTTGTTCCCACAATCCAGGGTTCCATTCTGAAAGTAATTATTTTCCCTTTCACCGTTTCCAAGGCAGAACATCCATCCTTCGTGGAAAGAATACTCTATGGGTGCAACTTCTGCTTCTATGCATGGATCCATCGCCACGGGAATTGACTGTTTACCAAATGTACACTTGCGTTCGTGCATGTTTGCTTGAATTCGGTAAGCATCCAAATCAGGTTCAGAGCCATGTGGACACTTATAGTAATTACCTAAAAACAAGATAGTTTTCAATCGTCTTTATTGAGATTTCTTTTTACAGCTATGGTTGTTTTTTATCTGTACGAATTGTAATTCAATAGGGCCGCGCATTTGTTGTACTTGTTACTAAACTCAATCTCGATGTTATTACATCTAAGTTTCCAACTTGCAACCTCAAAGAGTTTTAGCTTTTGTTTGTTACTTTCAGAGATGTAGATAGAGTAAAAAATGCTTAGGATAAAAGTGTTTCTTACTTACTTGATAATTTTTATCTGATCTTGCCCGAAAAAAAAATTAATTGGCACAAATCCTGATGTTAAAAACAGGGGACAAAAATAAGTATTAGGTATTAGGTAGTTATAGAGACAAAAAATCAGCAATTTGTCGGACAAATTAACTATAACTTCGCTTTCTTTCCTTCCTTTTGCTTCGGACATGTTATACTTATCTTTCTTCTGAGCTAACGTAGAGCGTGATTAATCTTATAATATATGTATATTATGTTGAAAAATATTTAAGTATGTTATTCACCACTCTGATTTCCAATGGCATAGCACATAGACCATAGCACAGGCTCTGCCTAGTTTCCGACAGCTTGCTCCAAAGCTGGTCGGCGCTGCGTCTGCCCTAGGGCGACTCTTGCCCAATATGGGTGGACCCAGCGTCGCGACAAGACGGCTGTACACGGGGGTTGTCCGGTCAATGGCACTGTACGGTGCACCGGTGTGGGCGGCGGCTCTGACCGCCCAGAATAGGGTACGCCTCTGGCGCCCTCAGAGGGTAATGGCGGTCAGAGCCATACGCGGTTACCGCACCGTTTCTACGGAGGTGGCATGCGCGTTGGCCGGAACTCCCCCGTGGGATTTGGAGGCGGAAGTGCTCACCGAAGTTTATCGGCGAGTGGCTGACTCCCGGGCGGAGAGCGGATTTCGCCCTCCGCTCGAGGATGTGCGCGAGTGGCGCGAAGCCGCTCGCCGAGCCACGATGGCTCTCCAGCCGGTCATCGCCGAGTGGGCAGGGCGGCAGCACGGGACCCTTTCCTTCCGGCTGACGCAGGTGCTTTCCGGGCACGGTTGCTTCGGAAAGTACCTGCACACGGTCGCTAGGAGGGAACTGAGTCCCGCCTGCCACCACTGCGACTGCAGTGAGGACTCGGCCCAGCTCACGCTGGCGGTCTGCCCAGCATGGGCGGCGCAGCGCCGGGCCCTCACTGCAGTCATCGGAGTGGATCTCTCGCTACCGGCCGTAGTACGCTCCAGGGCCGGTAGCGACAGTTGTTTTACCGCGGTCGCAACCTTCTGCGAGGTAGTAATCTCGCGGAAGGAGAGGGCCCGGGAGGACGACCTCCACTCGGACCCGATCCGCCGCCGGCGAACCGGGCGGCGGAGGCCCGCCTATCACAGCCTCATGCCGCCCTGAGTGTGGCCGCGGGTGGACGGGGTGGGTTTCCCCTCCACCCGCATTAGTTTGGCCAGCCGCGAGGGGGCGGCGTCCGCGTGTGCCGGACGTCGCCTAAAGAGAGGAAAACAAAAATATTGAGACGGAGCCCGCACCAGGAGCGGACTGGCGCTAGGAAGGGTCCGGATGTCTTAACAACAGCTGTTCCCGGATCCCTCCTGTTACAGGCGCAGAGTGGCACACCGTGTGGTTTTAGTCGGTCCGAGTCCGACACACCACCCCGCCGCACCCCGGAGGGGTGACGGTCCGAGGGGATTTCCACACGTTAAAAAAAAAAAAAAAAAAAAAAAAAAAAGGCTCTGCCTAGTTTGGGATCAGACTACTTACTTTTCGCATTTGTTGATTCAACCCCCTAACAAGGTTCAGTTTTTTTAAGTAAGCAGCATGTATCTGTGTCCTAGAACTGTACTATTGTAATTTTTACATGGTTGACTTGGATGAATCTACCTTAACTAGGTACTACATACCTGCACAACTTTAACAGGGGACAAGAAAGATAAGATAAAGAAATCCTACAACTTTACAAGTTCTAAATTACTAAATTAATTAAAACTGTTTTCTAAAGGGAGTTACAAAAGCTGTTCCAAAATTATCATTAACGATAAGTGTGCTTAACTCTATTCTCTAGCATTAAATAAGGCGAAATTCATTGTAAAAATTGTAAACTAACACAACGTTCAAACATTAAATAAATCTTACCATTTTGAATTATATAAACAGATTTCTTGCGTGCACTTATAACCGTTCTGACAGTGAGACCGTTACCCCCACTCTTAATGTTTTCCATGAGCACTTCCTGTGCCGCCCTTTGTTCACGTGACCATTTAGCAGCTTCCTCAGCCAATATCTGGCGACTTACTTTACCTGCAGATTGCGTCGACTACGAACACACGTCTTTATTGTAAACATCTTTTTAATATAAAAAAAAAACACGAAGAAATAAAGCTTGGTAGGACCTGTGGTGGATTCTCCATAATGATGTGTGGTCTTCCCAGCGTGTGTTGCCACATAAGTGTCGCCGCGACTTTGTACTTAGAGCTATGGTGCAGGGGCTGAATTTGCAGGATACCATACCACGCCAGTTCTCGATACACACTGTCTGGTAAGTAGCCAGTCTATAAGAGACAAGATATTATCCTAATTATTACAACATTATAAAGAAATCGTTCAAACATAGCTTGATTTTAGAGTAGCAAGGTGAAATAACTGGGCGACCGAGGTTTGAGGTAAGTCTAAAAATCAAAATCTTATGAAAATGCAAAATGAGATACAAATGATTTTTGCCGCAAAACAAACAGTTACCAAAATACTCCAAATACATCAAAGTTATTAGATGTATAACAAACACAGTATTAATTAATTCTTAAAATAATATTTAAAGTAGTGCTCAAAGATCTTGACTGCATAGATGGTTTAAGCGGTCACCTCGTCGCTTCCTACTGCGCTGATTGTTGAGGGTTTGATCCCCATATGAGACACTAATTGTTGTTCTGAGTGGGTTGTTCTTGTCTGTTTCATGTGTAAAGTCCCTCGCGATACAGGATTTATTAAAAAAAAAACAAGTCTGCTACTTACAGGCATGAAATCCATGTGCCACTGGAAAAAATAAATAAATACATTAAATATCAACATTTGTCATGTTACAAATATCACTTTGCACAGACATGTTAGTGGGTACACACTTCTTCTTCTGCCGGTTCACTACCCAGTTTCGCTATTTCTGTGAAATAGAAAGACTTCATCATAAACATGTTTGACTATCATAAAATATCTCCAATTATAAAGTTTTTAGATCTTTTACCTTCATCCTCGGGTCCGCTTTGCGAAAAGACTGCAACAAACTAATTAAAAAGAGTAATAAACGTAATAATAATAGACGAAGGCTAATTTATTTTAAAAATTCACCAACCTGTAGCACCATAGGAATAGCATAGATGAAGTCCAGATAGTTCGCCATTTTTAATAAAACTGAATATTACAATTTAAAAAAAAAACAAGTTTTTATTTTTATCAATAAAGGTTTAACAAGCATCGTTAAAAATAATTGGAGTTGTTTTAGGGTTATCATTTTACTAGAAATGTAGATATCTAAAGGCGGGTTTATTTGTTTGTTAATCCAAATAAAATTGACATATATATGTATCAATTTTAATTATCACGGGACTACAATATCTTCTTCTTTGACTTCTCTATTTTAATAAGAATATAAATTTATGATATTATTTTAATAAAGACAATGTTTCACTAGTTATTAAAGGTATTTTTTTCGATTTGATTCTTAGCATCTTTGTGTCTATCCTATCTTATTATATGTGTATATCCTATCATTTGTGTAACTAACGTCACACAAATGATAGGGATAGGACATTATATTTACATAATATTTAATTCATAATTATGACGTCATATACGTTTAGGTCAGTACCATGGTACTGACCATGTCCTAATGATATCATACCATATGACATTGTACCAAAGTCATCACTAAGGTCATTTTTATGTCAAATCTATCTACAAATTCGATGATCTGTCTATGACCAATCTATGACGTCATATGGGTCATAGACGTCATATAGGTCGTCGTTCACTGGTTAGTGATATATATTATATCTATATATTAATGGGCAAAGACAGTAAAAGCAATACAGTTCAGTACAGGGCCTGACTACCCATAGGCTAAAGCCTAGGGTGCAAAGACCGAGGGAGTGCTGTAGGTACTCTTGCTTGTTCAAGCAGTAAGGCTAAAGGATCAAGGAAACGCTGAGCCGCTCATCAAAGGAATCAAATCTCTGGAGCCCAAACTTACTCGCCTATAAATTGTTGTTTATTAGTGGGTACAAAAATGCCCAAATGCGAAAATTGCCTCTTGTCACCCACAGGGCCAGTGTCAACTTAATGTCTTAAGATCCTCCTCGAGTAGATGAATATTTTGGGCGAGTGTTATTACCTTGTTTAACACCAGTTTGAATTTTAGGAGCAGATCCGAACTAAACTCACATTCGTCTAAAGCAACAGTGGTAGGCACTGTTGCTTTTGAATTTAATACTTATCAATTTGATACTTTATAATGCATATAATTATAATGCTTTTCAATTTAATACTTTCGTATAGATTCAGCCGTTCGTGTTTGATAAATACGTTTTGCCTTTTTAGAGTTTTTAATGATCCATGTTCCTAGTGTAGGTACTATCCACTATGCACTGTCTGTATGTCTGGATTACGGCTACCTATTTCATATTCATTTCATCATCTGGCCCTAGAGGAAAGGTGGCAGCAAGTTTCATTTGCGTTTTTGCATATTGTTGTAAGAACTATAATTATTTCTCAAAATCCCAGCGAGCTTTATCATGTGGACTTGCGTAAACAATTTCATTCTTCAGACATCTGTAGGTGTATTTTTTTTTTATGTTAGAGGGGGCAGCCGAGGGACGGTTCATCTGATGGAAAGTGACTATCGGCGCCCATGAACGTCTGCAACTCAGGCGTCGTAAATGCGTTGCCGGCCTTTTAGGAAGGAGTACGCTCTTTTCTTGAAGATTTGAAGGTCGTATCGGTCCGGAAATAGTGCAGATGATAACACAGATTGGTTGTGTGAGGAAAAAATTGTTTAAAAAAGCGCACAGTATATGTTCAAAAACGCGCGATGCGGGCGTGGCTGCGTGCTCACCCGCATCTCATCCGAATAGGGCGGTGCAGAACCAAACTTTTTTTTTTAATATATCATATATATAATACTTGCGATCCGCCCGGGCTTCGCACGGGTGCAATGTAGATACTACTAATGTGGTATCAGTGTAGAGTAATTAATAATACTATTATTATGATAGGACTATACTTCAGGACAGCTCGACAGTCGTTGGGCCCCCGTATTTCAAACCTCTAATATCTTCTAAAATATTATTTTTAATGATATGCTGTAAGGAGCAATTTTAATCTACATTAAATGCACAACGTATCTAACGTATTTAATTGGATAAGGATTAATAATGTATTATTTAAAATAGCTGGGTAAGTAAATACCCATTATTTTCTTGTAATATTTAAAGTTTTAATTAATTAATATTTAAAGATAAAAATGGTTACTATGGGTTATCCTTAGAAGATAGACATATATCATTAAGGACTATTTTGTAGATCTTTTTAAGATATACAATTATGTTTTACATTATTTTGGTCTATCTCGTAAGGTTTAGCCAGAATTTGCAATGTTAGCACAACAAAAACATGTTTTATACGTCACTTCTTTGAAATTCTCAGATTTTCTCTACTATAATATGCATTTATTATACGTATAAACCTTCCTCTTAAGTCACTCTCTCTATTGGTGTAAACCGCATAAAAACCGCTGCTTAGTAAAGATCTAAACACAAAATTGCTACTTTATTTTATATTATGTAAAGATCAAATACCCAGAGTACATAGATAAATTTCATTAGAATGATTTTTAATAATAAATACAAATACCTACAATAAGTAATGATACTATACTATACTATAAACATAATACATAAGTAGTTTTATACACATGTACATTTATACATATAAATGTATAAATAAATACACATTAAATTAAAAACATTATATAAATTCTAGGAAAGATTATAAAGTTAACGTGAATCTTATTATGTGTTTAAGAAATGTTTCCGCAACAGATATTTAAGAGTTTGCCGAGTTTTTAGTGTAGGTATATTTCTTTTAGAATGCCGTAAAACGGACTGTTCACCCTGCATTTAGCACACTGCACAGATAATACTATCGACCTGTCAGTTTCGCATCAAACTGATCAAACAATAAATTAGGGCGTAACGATTTCGTACATAAAAAATAATAAAATAATTAATTACTGTCCTGCTAGTGTATTAATTATATAGATATGAATACGCTGGAGCTAGATAAGCAGCTAGCTGACTTGAGGATATACGCAAATGAGTTAGAAGCGAAACTTCAAGATGATATTATTGCATCAAAGAAGAAACCATCAATCCCACCGAAAAAAAATAAAGCACCTTTACCTCAAATACCACAAAGCTGCATGGTAAAGTCAGCGTGCGAGCCGTCCTACTCTTCTAGACTTGAATATGGCAGCCGTACGAGTTCCACTTACTCTAATTTAGTCCCTGTAAAGAGCTGTATTGTTAGAAATAATACGGCAAGAGTACGGAGCGGTGATGTCTTACTGTACAGTAATTTATTGCCACCAGGAGGCACAAATCATGTTTACTCCAATATGATGATGCAACGTAATGCATATGGGGGAGACAGCATATATGGAGACCGAGATTCGAGGTCTGAAGTGTCCAGAATTAGTGATTTAGGTGCTCAGTCTAATTACAGTGAATTGCGCCGGCCTGGATCTGCATATCCTCCTTCTTCGGCTTCGGTCAATGCACAAGACTTCTCTACCTATGGTGGATCACAGACATCTTCAACTTATGAGTCACTGTATGAACCTATAAATCCTCGACCATGCAGTCAGCTGTCTGGGACTTCCTTATATGGTGGATATGTTGGTACTACAGTGGAACCAACTCCAGAACCCGATGATGCTTTATATTGTGGTAACTGCTATAAGTGTGGTGAAAAAATCATGGGTGAGACCACAGGATGTTCAGCCATGGAAAGGATTTATCACATAAAATGTTTTTGCTGTCAGCATTGCGGAATAAATCTACAAGTGAGTAATAATTAATTATGTACCATAACATAAACACTACCTTTAAATAATTAGACTTGTGCATTATTTGTTTATTCACACAGTTCTATGAAGAATATCACCGGTAAAAGCTTTCTTTAGTTTTCATGCTTTAAGTGAGAATATTTTATTGTAACAACATAAAAATTAGGTAAAAATGAAGGCTGTGTGATCAAAAACTAGGCAGAGCCTGTTCTATGGTAACCAGACTGGTAATAAAAATACTCATATATTTTTAAATACATAATACATACATAAAATAGATAAATTACACCCAGACACGGAACAAATGACCGTTCTCATCACATAATATTTGTCCTGGGTGGGAATCAAACCCACAACCTACGGCTTAGCAGTGAGTGTCACTAACGACCATACCAACAGGTTATCTTGTTCTGTTATTTTCAATTTATATAAACCAATTTTCTACTCCAGATGTAACTTAAACTCTTTTATGAATAATACAAACTTTAACAACAGTTTTAAATCCAAAATTTTCTTAAACTAGAGATCGCTTGACTTGATCTTCAAAACTTGTTAGACGAGTAATGTCCTGTTTTATTTTATTTTAAGGACCAGCATAACTTGAACTGTCATTTTATAGACCTTTGTACCAAGACAAATTAAAATGTATACTCTACCATTATATTCTTATGTAGCCGTTTTTACATGACCGTGCTCGTCACACAATATTTATCCTGGGTGGAAATTGAACCCACGAACCTCCGGCTTAGTAGGTCACTAACCACTAGACCAACAGGCCCATCAACCTGAATTGCACTTTTTTGTGTCTGTGCAAAATCTATTTCAATGTTTTTGTAGAGTTTGTTTTCTGCACATTAATTCTGTACTGTAGCTGAATAAGGCTGAAATTTCATTTAAGAAGAGGTCTTTGCCCAGCAGTAGACTATTAGAGACTGTACATGATCATGATGATGAACACAAACATAGAACTTCATGTTAGGTTTAAAAATAAATGTCTGTTTCTCCCCCCAAGATCAAATATATAAATAAAGAGTAATTATGACTTTCCAGGGACGTCCTTTCTATGCAGTGCAAGGTCGTGCATTGTGCGAGAGAGATTACTTGGACACATTAGAAAAATGTTGCGTGTGCAGTGATCCTATATTGGATAGAATTCTTCGAGCGACAGGAAAGCCATACCATCCACGATGCTTTACCTGTGTTGTGTGTCAAAAGAGTCTAGACGGTATACCTTTTACAGTCGATGCTGTAAACCGTATACACTGTATTGAGGATTTTCATAAAAGGTATGGTAATTTTCTTTTTTTTGTGTTAATAGGTATGTAAGCGATACATCGATTGTCTTCATACGTCGACATATCGCTCATAAACATCATCATTTTAACATTGATGTTGAAACCTGAATATTGATGATACATCATTCTTCATGTGCAATGTTTTAAAAACGATACCTCTCTCAGTCACGACTGTCACAAGCATACTTTTCTATTTAACAAAACAATTGCTTTGATCGCCTGTATCTCTATGTAAATGTAAATAATGTAAAAATAAATGTGTAAAACTTCCTAAAAGAATTAAAATATAATATTGATTTTAATACTGATTTGTTTCATTTCTGTTAAAAATAAATATATGTTATATATTTAAACAGTGATAAAAAATCGATGTATCGTTCACAAGTTTGATGTTTTTGACATTGATGTTTCACTTTGGAATATTTCGATTTTCTTATATCAATGTTTTTTATGAGCGATATTGCATCCCTAAGTGTGAATGACATGCTTTGTACTTTTTCTTATAGCTACTAGAATAGCTGTCAGTTAACTCTGCACCATTCTTACTGTAATTTGCTTTTGTTCACATACATACCCAAACTCACATGTACATCTATGAATGAATACAAATTCCGATCATAACTAAAATCATTTTTAGATACGCTCCTCGCTGTGCGCGTTGCCGCGAGCCGATAGTCCCCGAGGGCGGTGCTGAAGAGACCGTGCGCATCGTGGCTCTGGACAAGAGCTTCCACGTCACCTGCTACGCCTGCGAGGATTGTGGGGCCTCGTTGTGTTCTCGACAGGAAGGCCGGGGATGCTATCCCTTAGATGATCACCTTTACTGTCGTGAATGTAATGCAAGACGCATACAAGAAATTTCGCGAAGTATTAACTAAACGGTTCATCATCAAGATGTGATCAGGATTGGGCCCTGTGACGTCATTAGGCGATACTATCTCAATTTCGCTCTATAATACGTTAACTTGAAATTTTACAGACGCCGGTCGTGCTGACAAACATGAGGAGGAAATCTCTTAGTACGATTTTAGAGTACCTAAAAGAATTCCTTCATGAAGACTCTTAATAAAGATCTTATAAATTGAAAATGAGGTAGGTTGCATGCCATATGTCAAAGTTACATTACATTGACATTTCAAAGATACATTTGACTGCTCATTAAACCTACCAGGGTGTGGTCAAGTGACTATGTCAGTATCAAACTGACTGAAACTCACAATATTTTGTTACCTACTGTAACTACAATAACTGTACTTGCGGCACTGGGCCTGATTCGTAGTCTAAGGAAGTTTTGCAGTATAATAACCACCTTGTCCTTAATTAAGAAAATATTAGTTCAGGAACATTTACAGTTGAAAGAATATCAAATAAATGTGAAAAGGAGTAACGCTTAAATACCTCATTATGCTCACATACATGAATGTGCCCGCCGAAATAGACAATGAATCTGGTTGTGTTTTTTATATGTATTAAATTTCCTGTCTCTTTCTTGAAATGTGAAACTCGTTTATGACAAATAGTGTACCATAACAGGAACAATTTTTATTACGTTTGAAATGTATTTAATTTAATGTTTAGTGTATCAGCAATATTTGCAAACATTCTTAAACCAACTTGTTGTTTGTTGTAAGTGTTTTTGATATGTGTAACATATTTCCTCTCTCTCTAATGCAATCTGTTGGATTCATTTTGTGGAAAGGGACGGAAACATGTAACAGGAAGCCGGGTAAAGGCTCGCGGTTCGACCAATGAGCGAGCGCGGTGTTAGTTGTCCGTCAGACAGAGGTAGGTGACATATTAAGTGTTACACATTATATGCAACTATTTTAAGGCTCGCTCGTTTTTTTATTTGTACATAATCGGCGATATACTTAAATTTATACAAAATCAATTACTTATAAGAAAAACAATGAGATTTTAAAAGTATTGTTAGAGTTTATAATGATTTACTGTAAGTATTAGAACATTCCACTATGCATTTATTTAGTAATAAAGGCTGTGTAGCTTTGACCATTCGTGTTATATTTTTACAGTATTATTTTTATGATTTTGTGATTATAATTTAAGTTTTATTAGATAAAATAAGATAGGATATGACTCCTTTTTCTCATTTACTGTAAGCCTCTGGTGCAATGTTATGCCCTAGTTATTCTTAGTGTATGCTTTTGTACACTATGCTGACTATCGCGATTATATTTTCTACCATCTTAGTAGGAATTTTAACTGCGATAATAGTAAAAAGTGCATGTATGACTGTATGTGTGTGTGTGTGTGTGTGTGTGTTCATTATCTGACTGTGGGATTTGTGTTTTAATTGTAAGCATCCTTTGCAAAATTTCCCGATTTATCATAAAAGAAACTCAATTTACCAAAAAAAGTAGCACCAGTGGATAAAAAGTTGAGGATCTGATGCGTAGAGATGACCAAAATGTAGTGAAGAAGATTTGATGTATGTCAGTTGACGATATAAGAATAGAGGACTACCAAAACAGGTGGATGGACTGCGTAAAAGAGGATATATGGTTCAAAAGTGAATTGACGAGTAATAGAGGAGAATGAAGGTAGAAAACTCAGTGCCGAGCCTAAATAAATTTGGGACAAAAGTGAGATGATGTTTGTAAACATAGAACTGATCTTTGTTGGCAACGGTAACACTAAAATAAAATACAAAAAATGTACTATGATACGTTTATGACAAATAGTGTACCAAATACATGAACAGTTTTTATTACGTTTGAAATGAATTGTATTCAATTTATTGTTAAGTGAAATCAGCATTATCTGCAAACGTATTTAATAAATACTTGTTATTTGTTTTGAATATTTTTAAGTACAACGTGTCTCTATAGACACGTTGTACCTAAAAATATTCCGGAAAGTCGAATGTTTCACAGTGCCATGTTTATTATGTAGTGATTTAACGTTAGATTATGTATTTAATGGTTTACGTAGAAATCATAAAACTATCCTAATATTACTTAGTACGTGACACCCCATTAACAAATAATTATATACAAAGTTTCACTACTAGTTCATTTTTTAGCATATAGTGATGTGACTTTGAATCATTTTGTGGCAATAAGTCTTGGAAAATTAGCCAATTACTACAGGAATGTTAATGTAAAGTATACTGCCTCATTTGTGATTAATCGTTTATAAATACTACAAAATTTTAATGATTCAGTTAGAACAAAACTGCCAGTTATAAATGTTTTGTAAATCAAAGTGTTCCATGTACGGACCCGTTGGTCTAGTGGTTTGTGGCCCTGACTGCTAAGCCGGAGGTCGTGGGTTCCATTCCCACCCAGAACAAATATTGTGTGATGAGCACGGTCATTTGTTCTGTGTCTGGGTGTAATTTATCTCTAATATTTATGTATTTAAAAATATATAAGTATGTTTATCAGCAGTCTGGTTACCATAGCACAGGCTCTGCCTAGTTGGCGATCAGACGGCTGTGTGGGAGATGTGTGAAGTTATTATTATTATTATTATTCACAAACCATGTACTATACGTTAAGAAGTTTTGAACACATTATATAATCCCTCTCACTAAACATATACTTACTCGTATAATATATAACTTGCGTACATATTGTAAGTGCTAGGCTTTAAAAGCATTTAAAGCTCGTTTTTTTTTGCGCTAGGACATTTAAAGGCGGATTCAAAACATTTACATTTAGAGTACTCCAATGAGTGCTGGGAACTACTGGTTATTTGTGTATTGTTGTGATTTTATAGTATTATTTAAGATATATATATTGAAGACTGTTGGGCTCAAATAACCGATCGTAATCATAATGTTTTAAATTTGTGAAATTATTAATGTTTAATATAAAACCATATAGTAATTGGAAACTGCAAACTAAGGCGATTTTACTAATTTTGAGTTTAGTGGGTAGGATAACAGAGTGTGTTTAGTCACACTTCTGTTTACATTAATACCGGTGATAAATATCCGCAATGTTAAGGAAATATTATTTTAGTAGGTACTCTCAATAAAGAATACAGCTATTTTATTATTTAAAATTACTATACCCACAATTTATTGTAAAAAAATGTTAGGAAATTGGTTTATATCTGCCTAGCTAGGTAGCTAGCTGATAAATCCGTTAATAGCAGCTACTAGACAGACGGTTATTCCTTCCAACTAAATATTTATATACTTACTTACTTATCAAACTTCTTTATTGCTACGTTTACACGCTTGACAAGACTCGACAAGTGTCCGTAAACACAAGCGTGTGAATGGGGTGTTTGACTTGGCTTGCGTGAGCTTGTCGCTGATCTGGGTTAATTTCGGTTTTTGAACACAGATCAAAAGAACTTGCGGCAAGTCTTTGTGTCGTGTTTACACGTTGACGCATTTTTAGTGTCGCTGTTTAATTAAAAAAAAAAGTCAAGCCAAACACAATAGCTGACATAACTTGAATATCCACGTCTATGTTTGCCTGTCCGTAACACATTCACAAGCGTGTAAATGACATCGATGCGTTTATAAAGGCCTGGAGCTTGTGGACGTTAGCCAAGCTTCGCCAAGCATGTAAACGTAGCATAAAATTATATTTCACCAATTCATCAAATACGCATTGTATGCTATAGGAAAACATGTTATATTTCTTCATTCCGATTTAAAAATAAATAAATAAATGGTGAACCTACCATTTTCATGGAAGACAACCTGGGCCTCAATTCTGCTATTTTATGTTCACGCCGAGTTATGGCATTTATAATTTGAATTAAATATAATTTAATTAATTATAATTTAAAAATTTATTACGTTTTTTTGAGGAAATGATTTCTTTTTATTTCCAAATATGGCAATCCATTTGATATCACCACTGATGAGCCACTGCCATTCCATCGCCACTGTAAAGACACTGGGTTAGTGTAGACTGCCGATATTTATACCGATGCCAATGGCCACTCGATGGCATCTCAATAGCGTGTCAGTGGTATGACAGTGACTTGGCGTAAACATATAATAGCAGAATTGAGGCCCTGTACATTGTGATAGTAATCATATAAAATTTTTGGTTTGTATTTACATGAATCTGATGCTGACTGTACATCGTCTGTCCTAATAGAAATTATATTGTAAAGGGTTTTTATACTAAAGTTATCCGTTAGACTGTATATCATAGAATTGCCAATTTGAACTTGTAGAATAATTGTATGAAATAATGAAGTTTACGTGTACTTTAACTAATTTAGGCATACTAGTCACCGTTTACTATCTGTATGCTCCCATTATATAGTGATAAATAAAATATACAATGATACAATATAGTTGTTTTACTTTTTTTTTTAAACAATTCCCAGTGACTGATTGGTGTGTAGATATCGTATTAGTAATTATGAATAGGTAAAATTTGTAATGGTAAAAATTTGACTGCACGGATGGCGTAGTGGTTTAAGCGGTCGCCACGCCGCTTCCTATTACGCAGAGTGCTGTGGGTTCAAACCCTACACGGGACAACACTTTGTGTGATCCACAAATTGTTGTTCTGAGTCTGGGTGTAGTTTGTGTCCGTTTCATGTATGTTTGTTAAGTCCCCCGCGACACAGGCTTTATTCCTAGTGCGCGGGTTGTCTTTAAAAAAATAGAAAAAAAAACTTCCTATATCCACGTGTCACTGACACTCCCTTGGTAACGCTTATATCTCAAAAAGTAGGGCACCTAGCGAAGATCTGTTTTCTCCCAAATTTAGTCGAAATTTTTCGCCAAATATCAGAATTTGTCGGTCACTGGTTTAAAAGTTATAAGGGTTTCTAAGTGGCCGACGTTGGGAGAATCTTCCCGATCGGCTACGCTTCTAAAACTAGGCCACCTAGCAAAGATCTGCTGCTCCCAAATTTAGTAGTAAATTATTTGCAA